GTAGCATTGTAGTTAAGCTGTCAGCTGGAAAATATGTGGGCCAAAGCTTCATGGAGAGAGCATCAGAGCTTAAGTGCAGATGTGGTGTTTATGCAAGACAGAGGTATAATGTTCAAGCAGTTATTTTTCTTACAGTAACTTATTTATGTATTTAAATATATTTTGTAGTTAAGGCATTGACCTTTTCCATTAAAGCATAGACTGACTTGAGTGCTTTTGTTTTGATTTAGCTGGGGAGATGTGTAGTGTTAAGTTTATTTGTTGAAAAATCCAACCCAAACCACTTCTCTGGCTTTTGCTGCATGGTCTCTGTGCACTTGAACTCCCCGTGCTGGAGAATCCCGGGTTTCACTGCAGGGATGTGTGGCTCTTCAGGGAAACTGCAGTGCAGTGCACTAGAAGCACCAGAGGGATAACATCTCCTTGCTGGCTTTTAAGCCAGACCTTTGACAGCCATCCAGTTCCATGATGTGTGCAGGTAGGAAGTGCTGTGTTTCATATCCAACACTTCCCCACGCCTGGATTGCAGGAAGTTTTGCTTCCAGCTACTGGTTCTGTGGTACAGCTGGAAAAACTGCAGCTCCTGAGGTGGGCAAGGGTGCATTTCAGGAACAACAGAAACAAACTACACACCCAAGCTTGGTGCATACTCATGAAGAGCTGGCAGTACCTAATGGGATCAAAAGAAGAAGGTAGTGAAAACTCATTTGGTTCCTGGCTCAAACCTGTTTAATTGCGGAATCTCTTTGAATTGGATTACAATATTGCAGTAAGGCTCTCTATCTTAGATCTGAAGGTATTTTTGAATCTTTGCCAAAGCAGATTTCTTTCAGAAGCTAAAAATATCCTGCCCAGGGTGGAGGTTGAGCCCTGGTGCTCCTCGTTCTGTGCCGTGCATCACACCTGCTGCTGTGCAGGTCGGGGGTTGTGACACAGGTGGGGAGGAGTCGGCCCATCCTCGTGAAATGGAGTTCTTGGGTCACTTCTTGGGGCTGTCAGGAGGATTTGTGTCCTGTAACTGGTCTGTCTCTTACGAGCCACTACTGAATTAAAACCACCAAGCTGCCGTTTGTTAGAGAGCAGTTGGTGAGCACGTGACCAGGTGAACAGGGAATGTAATTCTTACAATGTGTTTTAATCCCCAAAACTGCCCCTTGCCACTGATTCAGTCCCTTCCATACAGAGAACTGTGCTGTGGAAGTACAGACCTCTGTCACTTCAAATCCGCAGCAGGAGCTCATTTGAATCCTTTTAAGAGCCTGCTGTTAGTCAAATCCAGCTCCTTGGTAAAAGGGTGGTGAGCCACCCATGCTGTTCTAAGCAGGTGAGCTCAGACTTGATTATGGAACAGTCTCCTGGCATAAGTGCTGGGCTTTCTGCCACCTGCTGTACCTGTTCCCACTGTTTCAACCTCCTGTTCTTAATGTTCAAAATCCTAATGCTTGCTTGCTTATATTTATGTACTCCATTTAATGATAAGAGAGCGGCTGTGATCAGAAAGCAGCTTTCCCATCAGCCTGATTTTCAGGACTTCGCACCAGGCACTGCCAGTCCCAGCTCTGTTTTGCTCCTGGCAAGGTCAGTCCTTTGCTCGCTGTCCAGTCCTCTGATAACACTGATTTCCCCCATCTAAGTTTCTGACAACAAATTTGTACTTTATTTTCCTGTAAAGCCACCTTCTGTCTGCCAAATGAAAAATGCACATCCTGTGAGCTGAGGTGATACCAGGCTTGCAGTTGCCTGTTGAACAAAGCTGGTGTGCAGTAGCAAGCTGGGCATAAACTGAGCCTGCCCCAGGAGTCCAGTGGCAAACAGACCCCACTGGTAGAGTTTAGCCCAGGACCAACGACCATTTTTGGGTATGGGAGGGGAACTGCACTCAGCAGGTCGAGCTGCTGGTCAAGTACAGAATAAGCTCTGAAATGGTGCTAGTAGAGCTGTGTGCTGCTAAGAATTCATGGGTAAGGGCTGCTCAGATGGCACCACACCTTGGTATGTGTGCTGGGGATAGGGTCTAGACCACTGTCCTGCCCTGCTGGGATGTGGCAGTTTGGACTGGAACCTTCCTCATAATGGCCCCTTCCCTGCCTGGGCAATGCACTGCAGCAGTACTGTGCTGGATCAGCACCTGCTGGAGAGGGATCTGTATAGCAGTGATTCCATGTCCTAATTCAAGTTCCAGTTTGGAGGTGAAAAAGCAGTTGGAACTGACAGGTTATCTGATTTCAGCCCCTGTTTCTTCAAGCCCTGTGCATTGCTGCTCATCTTCATAGTAATTCACTGAATACCCAATGGCAGAGCTTTGCTGCCTGTTTATGGATGCTGGAATAATTCCTTCAGTCTGCTCTACAGCTGAACTCTCTTATCTCACTCTATATTGAATTTTTCCTGTTTTCAGCTACTTGGCAAACCGATGGCCACCAAGTCCCAAAATATTTGCTGTGAAGTACATGAACAGCTCAAAGCTTAAACAACTGCAAGCTGCTGGTGCCCTGCCTCAAGTGCCAGGCTGGGAGGTGCAGTCAGCTGGTGGGAAATGCATGGCCTTGTACAGCCCAGCTCATCAGTGGCTTCTTGCCTGGTATGAAGTTCCTGTTCTCTGTTGCTTCCCCTCTGTTACTCTGTTCACTTGTGGTTCTTGGGCCTATTTTTCTATATTGTCCTGCTTATTAATTTTGTGGGTATGTACATGTCTCATCTTCATGTTGCTCTCCATAATGATGGAGTACTTTGCAAGCAGCTACACCTAATTGTAAATATGGATTTGTACCTGTCTCTCTGCAGAGATGGCTCCCATTACTGGTGCTGTGTAAAGTAAGACCCCTCTTCCCCCCACAGCTGACATCATTTGAAATGTCAGTGTGTGGAGTCTTTCCTCTGTACGTGCAGTGCCAGCCTCTGGCTTTTGGGACCTAGGACAGGAAGGGTGGAGAGCAGAGACGTGTTCATTTTTAAATCTTTGAAAGCAAACTGCAAATCTGGCTTCCTAAATTACTCCGTCTGAGTCACCGGAGGCAGAAAGGTGGTTCCTTGTGTGATCAGGTAGATAGGGCCTCGCTCTAGCTGAGGCTGCTATGCCCTCTAGTGTAGTATTTATTATTAAAAAGCAGCAAACTAGAGAGCCCAGCTTCTCCCAGTCTCCTGGGAGGCGGTTCCAAGATCTGCCAGGCACATTCATAGGCTCAAAATGTGGTCAAAGAAGTAACTTAATTTTGTTAATTAATTTACTCCCAACTTTGCCCAGCAGACTGTGCTGTCAATAACTGTGATATCTGTCACTTTGGTTCAAAACTACACAAATAATTTTGGGTTTTTGTTCTTTGAAGCTTCCATTACTTGTTTCTTTCAACTGGAGCAGCTCAGAATGAGAACTGCTTTCTCCCCAAGAAGAGCTGCTGCCCCAACAGGCAGCAGAGTGCCTCAGAAACCAGTAATTCAGAGAGTCCTGTCCTACTTCAGGATTAGTTTCTAGCTTCATCCCCTTGTCTTAGTAAGTAGCAAAGGAAGATTGAAACTAAGCAAGAAAGCCTTGGTAGTGCACAGAGAAGCCATCTTAGGGAGACAGAATGTGAAGAAGATGGTGTAGATCTTGCAAGTGCAGCTTAGCACAACCACCTCCCAGCTGTCCTTCCCGTTCAGCAGTGCAGGAGGGAGTAGCTAGAACTGAACAACTGCTTGTAATCTGGGATGGAACTGACCCTGGAGCTATAGAGTTCTGCACAACAGGAGTGCAGGACAGTGTTGTCCCCTTGCTCTGGCACCTGTGGGGGCTGAAACACCTTTCCCTTTGGAAGCAAGGGCAGGAGTTCCTGCCAACTGCCTCAGGGAATCCTTTTTTGACCCTTGTGTATTGGGATTGAAGCTGAAGGCTGTTGCTCCTGTATCTTCATGAAGACAAGCCCACAGGACACCTCACCTGCTCGGCGAAGGGTGCAAAGTACTCATCAACAGTTGGCCTTGCTTTGGGCTCACTGCTCCTCTGCTGCCAGCTGTGGTCTTACACCACTGTGGTGGTCTTCAACAACAGGCCTGGAAGAAGCCTGGAAGAAGGAGCAGACTTTAATCCAAAGCTCCCCTCTCCCAGCCCAGGAGAGGCAGGAGGAATGAGAGGTGCACACTCTCCCCAGCTCACTGCGAGCCTGTGGCCTGCACGGTCTGGCTCAGGTGAGCTGAAGGAACACCTGTGTCTCAGTGCCAGGAGAAGTTTCAGGCAAGCAGGTGCAGGCCAGGGCTGAGCCTCCAGCAGGGTGTTGAGCACTCTGGCTGGCTGTGGAAGCATCAGCACAGCTCTGCTGCACCTCGTGGTGAGTGTGGCACAGTCCTGCTGCAGTGGACGTGGGGCAGGCACAGAGCCTGAGAGTGTGTGCAGGGAGGAGGTGCTGCACCAAGACCACTGCCCTTCTTGTACTGTTTACCACAGGACCTGGCTGGCTGCTGCCTTGAAAGACCTGAGCTGATCCCCAGTGACAGAAGCCATCAGAACCCAGCAGATGCCAGGACATCACTAACAGGACAGGAGGCCATGCTGCTGGAGACCTTCCTACCACCTGTGGATGACAAGCCAGGCAGAGGTAAGTTACCACATTCCTGCTGCCAGCCCACCACCCCTGCTCTAGGCTGGAGCCACAACCCTTTCACACCTGAAGCCAGGACCTGTCTGCACACCCACCAAGTAGAGTGCACAGGAGCAGGTTTCTTCTCTCAGCTATTTAGCTTGTAAATCCTTTGGAAAAAGGGGTCTGTCTGCACAGCATTTAGCATAATAAAGTCCTGCTCCTTGTTGCAGTGCCAGGGCCTTCCCCATGCCAGCAGCTTTATAGCCTCACTGTTTTCCTTCCCAACTCCCCAAAGCTGTGCAGCTGGAAAAACCTCATATTTCCCAGGGCAGCTCCTTTATTTTTGCCTCTGCAAACAGGGAACCCAGTTAAGCCCCAGAAAATGTCTTGGGCATTTTGTAACAAAACTTGCTCGACCAGTGTTTGAAGCATTTAACTGACCCATTTCCTTTTTTTCTTTTTTAATAAAAACAGTCATCAGCTCGGGGCAATGTACAGTTGTAATTCTCACCCTGACAGCTCAGAGACACCACTGTGCTGCTCCCATGAGAGCACAGCTGGAAAGCTGATGGTTGTGAGACAACCCTCTCCACACAGCATTAAAAGCAGTTCAGGGTATGTGTTGCAATGGACTTGGGAGGAGACTGAATTTCATTTGTACAGGTAAAAAAGCCACGTGGACCCCACTGTATGCAGCGTGATGAAGCTGCTTCAGCAACGTTTGCCTGCACTTAGGTCCCAGCTGAATGCCTGGACAGGAACCTGCCCACCACCCACCACCATTTCCTGTGACAGTGGCACACTCTGCACCATCACTCGTAATAGACAAAGGAAAAATCCCAAAATCCTGCTCTGTTTGGATGCTTGTTCAGGCGTGCCAAGCTACGATGGTTGATGTATTTCACAAACTTCATAGTTTCTTTGTCTCTGTAAACTAAGGCCAAGCAGTTGTCCTCTGGATTCACTGTCAACAGCTGGAAGACACAAGAGGAAGGGAGGAAACCAGTGTCATAAAAATGGCTTTGACAGAATTCTGAAGAAGAAACAGAAGTTTCAAAAGTTAGTCAGAGCAAAAGTCTGGTGTTAGAAAATGAACTGTGACACCATTTTCACTTTAATACCCCTTAACCTGAAGCATTACAATAGAGTAAGGGGTTCTGGACTGGTGTGACTGCTCAGCACTGTCATTAGTACTGATGCTGGGTGTGACCCCAGTGAATGGCACCCCCTGGAAGAGTGTCATCTCTGCTACAGCCTTGTGTCCCTCCAGGGCAGGCTTCCCACATGGCCCCAGGTGCTGTGAGACACTGTCAGGGCCCAGGTCTCACACTTTAGGGGAACACCAGCCTCTTGAAGCACGAGCAGGGAGTGGGGCAGGAAGGCTCCAGAGCAATACCGAGCACCCTCAGGATGATGTTAGTGTACGACAAAGTGTAATTGTATCACTCCACCCTGAACAATTTTATCTAATTTGCAGCTAGTAACTGAGGTCCTTACCTCTTCATCTTCACCTTTAGCAATGTAGGAGGTAAAGCCACCATATTCAGGATCCCAGTCTTAAAACAGAAAAGAAAGACTCTTAGAAAGGTCAGTGCTGCCCAGGTTTCTTACAGCCCTCCTGGAGATGCTGTTTTGTCACCCCACTGCCCACAGTTACTGGATACAGGATAATCCCCAGTTTACCTCCTCACATGTAGAACAGTTCTGCCTTAGCAGACAGCAAAAGGATTTCAGGATAATTACCAGCATGTGCCAGATGGTTTCAGCTCTGTGTTCTGGGTTCAGCTGGTCTAAAACGCTTGTGTTTAGATTTTTGTTTTCATCACTATCTAACTAACAATCTAAAATGCCCAGACATGCCTAAAGTAACTGTTGAAAACCCTGGGCTTTGTGAACTGGAGGTGCAGTTGATAATTCTGGTGAGAAAAGGGGTGGAACAGAACACTTTCAGCGGGTGTTCTGGCCACCTGACCCTCCACCGTGCCCAGAGCCGCTGCTCAGGAGAGGAAAGGGCTGGGAGACTCAGCCTTTCCCTCTGCCCAGGCGCCACCTCCTGGCTCCAGCAGGGAAGGCCAGAGCTGACTCCAAATCTTTGTACACAAAGACTGCTGAAACAAGGGTTTATGCCGAAGTGAGGACTAGGGCAAAATTTAAAGAGACCTTCCATGTAGGAAAAAGCAGGGAAATTTTCGTTGTTTTAGCACTGCTGAGAAGTCAGAAGGAACTCCTTCGTGCAAAGCTTGTAAAGGAGAGTGACACTTCTCCTGTCCACTTACCCTCACAGCCACAGAAGAAGAGCAGGTCGAGAGCAAACTCTGTTGCTTGAGTGTCGTGGACCAGAGTGTAGTGCCCGTGGGTCCAGCGCCGCAGCTCCCCCGCACACACCGGGGCACCCAAGCCTAGGAGAGGGCACAGACATGCCAGGGAAAGCAGGGAAGCTGGGCAGCAGCACTGGGGAGCAAGGCCTGGGGCTGTCACACCACTGAAATCACCTGCTGGCCCCAGCCAAGGAAAGGTAAACCCACAGATGGTGTGTTAACATCTGTCCTAGAGGTGGCTCTAGGTCGTGTACTTTGAACATGTAGGAGTGGGACCAACATTTGCTCCAAGCTCTGCTGTGCTTTAGTTTAACCAGTTCTCTTCCCTTTTTATTGTGTTTCCCTTGGATTTACAGCAGAGCTCCAAACCTCAAGAGCCAGCATCCTTTCTGCTCTGGAAGTACCCAGGAACTACCAGAAACCCCAGTGAAGAAGGACATTGCTCTGAACTCACTCTGTGTGTGCCATCCAAGGAGGTATGTCAGCATTTGGGGAAGCCTTTCTTTTCTCATGGGTCTAGCTCAGTTTTCAATCCAGGTAGACTCAAACTATGCCCTCCTCATATATGAATTAAAAATCACACGGTAGGAACAGGGCAGACAGAAGAGCCACATGACTGTGGAAACCAGGAAAACAAAGCCTTGTTCCTACTAAGTGTTCTGATGGGATTTTTCATTAGGACTATTTTTTTTTACTATCTTTTTTTCCAGTGTCCACTAATTTGCCTGGCTCAGTGCAAGATGAGCATTTACAAAAATTCTGCCCTTAAACTTCAGAGTCACTGTTTCAAATAAACATCACCAATCCATGCATCCAAAATTAATCTCATCCTTGACAGCAGTGGTATCTCACTGCTGACAATAAATGGTTATTAAAGCTGACAGTGTTTTCTGAAAGGTTAAATCCTACCTTTGAGGTATATCAGTTTTCTAGTTCTGAAATTATGCTGATGTGTTCACCTTTTTCCTTTGGATTTGTTATCTTGCGTGAAAATCTGATTTATAAAAAGCAGGGATATTTGTGTGTAGAAGCCACATAACAACTGACAAAAGCTTACTAGGCATTTAACAGCCCTCCCCAAAGTCCCAACCTTAAGACTTTGGTCTGTTCAAAATGGTAACTTCAAGTTAGTCATGGATTTACTCCAAATTCTTTTGCAATGGTCGCTGATTTTGGACACCCAATCTGATGTGCTTCAGGTCCCACATTTGTGCTGGTGCCTTGTGCTGGCTGCAGTACAAGGTGAAACACTAAGTTCCATGGAAATCACTGGGAACTCTGCTGCCAGCACCAGGATTGTGCTTGAGCCCTTTCCCACTGCTGCTGCTCTACTTACTGCTCTGTGTCTCACCATCCTGTGCTTCACCAGAGCTGTCAGGCTGCTCTGGCTCACAGGGATTGCCATTAGCATGTTGTTCAGCTTCTTCCTGCTCAGGTTTGGGACTTCTGTGCCGAGCAGTGTCTGCTGCTCGTCCTTCCCCAGCATCTTCATCCTCATCAGAGGGAGCCAGGAAGTGCAGCTTTAAGCCAGTGAAGTTGGAAAGCAGCAAAAACAAGGCCTCGGAGCGTAAGAGCTGCAGGAATTTCTTCAGGGTGTCAGGGAGGCTGACCTCCTCTGCTGCCTCATAGAGCCTGAAAGACAGCAGGTGTATCAGAAGGTGTGTCTCCTTGCTGGAGAGCCAACAAGGACCACATCCTTGGGGCAGCCTCATGGCAGCTCCTGCTTGGCCTCACCAACAGCTGCAGGGTGCTGCCATTCCTCACCTTTTATTGGCAGGCCCCCGACTGCTCCACTGGATCTCTTTGTTCTCCAACGCTTCACAGAGTAGCTGGTATTTCTCTTTCTAGGCAAAAAAAAGATAGTGCAGAGACATTAACATTCAGCTCCCAGGTGTGCCAGAAGCAGTGCCTCCAGATAAGGCACTTGAACTTGGTTTGAGGATCCCCAGACTGCTGAATTTAGAGGCACTGCCTGGGAGGGTGTCGTGTCCTTTGTCAGTGACCAAGAGGTACCAGATGCTACTGGGTTGTCTGCTGGGTGAGAATGCAGCTTCATGAGATACAATGAAGCCCTGTAAGCCACAGGTCAGTCAGCCCTGAGAGGCAAAGCCCTTCAAGACAAACCTCTCGTGGGTCACTTGTTTCACACACATGTGGAGTTCCCCAAGTGCTAGACTGCAAGAGCTGGGGGAAAGGCTGGGAAGCAGGAAGGATGACATGGGTTTCCAGCCTTCTGCTTTGCTTCTTGCAGGAAATAAGGTTGAATAGAAGTGTTTGATTTTTGGTGAGTCCCTACACAGCAGTGTACAGGCAGTCAGAGGGGATCCATCCACAGAATCACAGAGTGGTTGATGTTGGAAAGGACCTCTGGAGGTCCATTCCCCTTTAGGGCATGAAAGTAGGTGTTTTAGTTAACAGATGTGCAAGCAAGCCCTTTCCCAGCCTGCATACCAGGTGGTACCTGTCACCCTGTTCTGGCAGATCAGATCCAATCAAACCACCAGGCTCACCTTAAGAAAGTCTTTCAGGAGAATTTCTGATCGCTCCTCAAATTCCTCCTGGATTTGAGCTTGGGAGTCCATGTCCAAATAAACTGGATTGATCCACTCATACAGTATTTCATGCTGGAAGGGAAATGGATTGCAGTGCTGAGTTTGCAAAAGTGAAATTCCTCAGTTCCCCACACTGAGCTGCCCACAGGGCTGCATTCCCTCACACACACTCCATTCCTTTATTTCATTGCACCACAAGTATTTGCTGCAGTCTCTGAACTACTGGAGGTATGCAAAACATCCAGAGTCAAGAGAGATGCACGGGAAAGAAACTGGATACAAATTTATGGACAGAGAACAAAAAGGAGAATGCGATAGGATTAAAGCATCCCCAGAGCATCACTGCCTCCCGTAACAGGTATTACAGGAACAAGAAAAGAGAGAGAAATGCAGATAAACAGAGTGTACTCACATCATAGGGGATGTGGGGGCTCCTGGGCAAGGGAGCTTCAGCGTGGCGTGTGGGTCTGGGCACGGCCGGGCCGTGGAACCAGCCGCTCACGGACAGGCGGCACTTCCGCGACACAACCTCTGCCACCTGCAACAGCCGAGCACAACACTGCTGGGGGACAGCACTGCTGGGGGACAGCACTGCTGGGGGACA